TTATATTTTCAGTAGTATTTGCTTATGATGTACACATACCAGGCTGCAAAAAGACACATTTGAAGACAATTGGCATTATTCATACCAAGGCTAAAGTAAGAGAGCCAGTTTGGTGTAGTGGTTAAGTGCACAGACTCTAATCTGGGAGAACCCGATTTGATTCCCCACTCCTCCACTTGCACCTGGCTGGATGACCTTGGGCAAGCCATAGTTCTGATAAGAGCTGTTCTTGAAAAAGAACAGTTTCTGTCATGAGCTCTCTCAGCCCCACCTACCTCACAGGGTGTCTGTTGTGAGGAGGGGAAGGGAAAGTAGTTTGTAAGACGCTCTGAGACACCTTTGGGTAGTGAAGGGTGCGGTATAAATCCAATCTCCTCTTCTTCTGAAGTAAGAGGTAGAATAATTGATAAGGAAGATTTTTCCAAGGACTGTTTTGTTTTCTAATCAATCTTAATTTTTTTTATCCCACCACCGCCAGAGCAAAAGTGTAAAAAAATCATAATGTGTATCTGTAACTTTCAAATGAAATCTGAATTTAATACAAACAATCTACATTTGAATTCAAACATTGTAAATGGGGTGCTATAGGGTGTCACCTAAATTCTCTTCTGAACAGTTTAGGATACTGCCTAAACTATGTGCCAGCATAACTCAGTCTAGGTCTTGTGTTGTACACTTGGGGAGGTAGTAGGCTGATATCATGGGTATGTGCCTGTGTCACTGTGTGTTCAGGTTGACTGGTTTCATCCTTGCCTGTCTCAGGGGGCAGTGCTGTTTGGGAACAACACACTGTGTCATGATTGGTGGGTGCCAGTGATGTTGTTATAGATTCTGGCACAATTGCTATGCTCTGTGCACCAGCCCTGGCCACCAGGTGGGAAGTCCCAGTAACCACAGGGTGTAACAGCAGCGGTTCTCAGTCCAAAAGTCACAGTCCAGAGTCTAATAACACGATCAAAGGAAATTCAGAAGACAGTCCATGGTCTCAGTCCACAGTCAGGATATGTATTCCAAAATGCAGAGTCAAAAAGCAGTCCAAGGGCCAGGGAACAAGAATAGCTACAGAACCATCTGGCAACTGGTGGAGTAGCCAGCAAAAAGTTTTCCCCACATAAGCCTCTTCCCTGCAAGATGGCTTGACTCCTCCACTCCTGAGGTCAAATGTGGCCCAGATCCTATGATAACTTATTGGTCTCTTCCACCATTTCCTAAGCAGAGGGGAGGTTGCGGGCTGCCAGGCACACACCCCTGTGCCTGGTTCATGCCTCAGCCCTGGCCCTTCGCCTTCTCTGCTCCTGGATTGCTTTGGGAGACAGTGGCAGGTCTGGTCATGAGCAGGTCCATGTTGGGGCCTCCGGGCCTGAGGGCGCTGCTGGCTCAGGGGTAGGGTTGCCAGTTTCAGGTTGGGAAATACCTGGAAATTTTAGGGGTGGAGCCTGAGGAGGGTGGGGTTTCAGAGGGAAGGTGCCTCAGCAGGTTATAATACTGCAGAGCCCTCCTTCCAAAGCGGCCATTTTCTCCAGGTGAACTAATCCCCGTCACCTGGGAATCAGTTGTAATCCCAGGAGACCTCCAGCCGCCACCTGGAGGTTGGCAACCCTAATCAGGGTAGTATTAGTGCTGGCTCAGGTTCCCCTTGGGAATACCCTGAGACCCTAGCCTCCCAGGAAGGGTCTGCCAAGGCAGGGCTTGGGGATAGGTTGTCCTCTGCTTTCTCCAGTGAGGACTCCTCCTCCCATGAGACTCTGGGGTGGTCCATGGCAGCCCCTTGGGGAGAAGTCATCCCTGATCTTATTTCACCTCTGCTGAGCGAGCATGGGATACTGATTAGTGGTGCTTCATACACATTTTGTATGGGGCTGTAGATCATATAATGCATTTAGGGCTTACAAACATCTGGCTGTGGCTCCCCACTGCCAAACAGCACTGTCTTTGTTTCTCAACAGGATCATCAACTGAGTTTTCATTCTTGTACATTCATGCCCAACATGTGCAACATGCTGCATTTGAGTACTTGCATGTGTTCCCATATATTAACTTCCAAGGGTGACAAAAGTAGGGAGGACCTGTGTGAATCTTTGTGTCAGATTCAGTGTGTGTGATGAGTGGGAAAATGACATTCAAGCAGGACAGAATGTATCCTTTGGAAAGGGTAGCCAGAATTTATGACAGTCATGGACGCTTTTCCATATATACCCCTAGGAAATTGTGAATTCCTAGATTCCTCTTCCTTTCTGGGATTCTTCCAGCTTTGATCTGAAATGCATGCATTTCACATGAACATTGAACTACATACATAGTCTTGATGTATTGTATAATTATGCAGAGGAGATGATGATTAACTAGGTTGTGGATTCCTGGAAACTTCCCTTCTTGTAAAAGTTATGAGCATCAGAACGTAGTTTCTGGCTTTTTTCAGCTTTGATCTGAAATGCATATACTTTATGTTAGACTAGATAGATGCTCCTGTTAGTGTATAATTATGCAGATGAGATTATAATTAACAGGAAAAACATCATTGTATACTAATGAAAGTGATTTTAGAACCACATTCTTATGCTCCTGATAGTATCAGTTATATTAGTTTCCATCCTTTTTATCAAATGCCACCAAACATAGTCCCTAGAAATGTATCTAGTTTTCTGCCCTACTTTGAAACAAAGATTTTTGAGAGATTTTTTTAATGGCAGATATGCTGTTCATTGAGAGCTTGTTTGGTCTGTTATCTATTTATTTTAAATATTTATATCCTGTTTTTGACATGAAAACCTATCTAGGGGAGCATACTTTTAGTTAAAACAATAAAATATATAAATGCATATAAAAGGTTGAGGAAAATGTTGAACTTGAATGTGATCAAGCTGAATCATTGCCCCCTAATTGACTTGCTGGTTGAGATGTTTCTCAGTCTTGGTTTCTCAATCTTAGTTATAAAGAGGACGGAGTGTAAAAGATACCTATTTTATTGACTGTTACCAAAATACTGCTTAACATACTATTTGTGTTTTTTACAGCACAGCTTGTTTTGCTCCTCCTTGTAAAATCATCTGGTAGCCTAGGCTTATAAGTGACCACTTACCCTGGAAGCATAGTGTTTGAAAGCTTAAGGGTTTTTTACATTTCAAGCTGTGACACAACTAGCACAGGTATGTGTGGGTAGGTCAGCTGGCCTTTTTGCTAGCAGTGTGTTCTGTGGACTTGCTGCTAAAGCTGTGTTAGCCATTCCAGATACCTTTTGTAATTCTGTGCATTTACTATTGAGGATTATGTATCTCTTATGAAGGCCCAAGTTAAACCTGATGAAGGCAGAGCTGTTTCTTTAAATTTGAGCACTCCCCCTTTCTGTGTAAAGGATGTCAAGTGAAAGGGATTTGAGCACAAAAGAAGCTCATTGCTGCAAGGAGACCAGCACTGGTCTCCTTGCAGAAGGTTCGCCAGTTATTTTCTCCCGGTGGGGCTAATTTTTGGTAACGGAGTACATCTGGGAGGAAACTAACCTTGAACAGTGAACGACTAAAGTAGTGGCAGCAGCAGGCTTGAGAACCATTTTCCTTTAAGTCATGTAATCACCACCATTTTACATGTCACTGGGGTAGATCCTCATTTTAAAATACAAGTCTGCCACCATCATACTTAGTCTGGCTCTTAGTGAATGATATTTATCCTGTGAGTGACAGCAGCGCTTGTTATTTGATCTCACTTGGAGATTCATCTAGAATGTGGTCCCAAAATAGAAAGGCGGTTGCAGGAAGAGCTTCATTAGAAGAGCTATTGGTGTGTGTGTGTGGGGGGGACACCTCTTGTAGAAAGTTCAGTGTCCATCCTGTGTGGTTTTAGTATCCTCTCACAAGCATACAAAGCATGAGACCCATTACCTTTATCCGTTTGTGAGGATTTGCACCCAAAACAAACTGAAGTCTGACTTCCTCTGTGGACTTGCACAGTTTACCGGCATTTTAATAAGGGTGTGTTGGTGATCAGAATATTTGTGAACATTCCATGAAATCACAGTGCAGCAGCCAAATTCTAAGAAGGCTCACATACAATTTAGTTAGGATCAGGTTCTCTGAAGCTTAAAGCTTAGGTACTCCTGTTTTTCATTACAAACTCAGTGAAGAGCTTTTGTGCAAACAAAAATTGCTTGGATGTAGACTGTAAAAGTGCCCCCAATATATAATAATACTGTGTTACAATACTATGTACTTTGTGTTTACATAAGGCTTCATGGTACTTTATGCTGCCTGTGCTATGCAGACTTTAGTACTGCACTTAGGGGTGCTTAAAAAATTCCTGTACCCTTTCCTGTCCTATTCTATGCTTGGCCCTGGTAGCTGTTGCAGCACAGCCTTTTGCATTCACTGCAGCACCTACTGAAATTGATAGGATTAGGCTGCAAGTTGTACAAACTTATTTTTTAAATGACAAATATTGGTATTTAGAAAGTTTATTTATTGTAATCCACTGATCAGCTGAACAAGGCAGTTATGAAGTATTAGTCTTTTTGACAGACTTTAAAGTCTATTTTGCCTTTCCACTCAGCCAAGTTTAAACCTATTCTTTACCTGCATGTAATTGTATCAGCAGCTATAGATGTTGTTCAGAGGAGTTCTAGCAGGGGTCGTTTCGTAGAAAAAGAGCTAGGGGAACTCATTAGCATACCTCATTAGCATATGCCACACCCCCTGACATCAGGGGCCCGGGGGAGAGGCGGGGAGGAAGCAACTTACCCTCCCTCTTCTCCTGCCTCCTCTTGGCTGAATGAGGGCCGGAAGCGGGGCAGCTGGAAGCAGGGGGCGTGGCTTCGTCATGTGCCCCGCCCCCCACATCTCACCCGGGGGAACTGCATTCCCCCGCGATCCCCCCCGAAATAACCTCTGAGTTCTAGTAGGAATACATGGGCTTTTTTGTTTTGCTGTTGGTGTTTTTTCCTGGTTGCTTATTCTGAACTGTACAAATCCTAACTTCTAAACCTGTACTGTGTGTTCTGTTTGGTTGTTTAGGAAAGTCAATCATCAGCAAATGGTCCGTCTCGAAACAGTCCAAACCAGTCCCACATCATAGAAGGAAACATGGTATACCCAAAGCTTCGTCCTGGTTACATCCCCATTCCAGTAATCCACGAAGGTGCAGAGAACAGGCAGCAGTACTCCTACTATCCTGGCTACCAGCCCGACATGCAGCGTGTCAAAGTGGACACAGTTCCGACAACAATGCGGGCTCCATCACCTTTGAGGGGAAGTTTTGCCCGTCCACAGTCTCCTGCTCGGGGACTTGCAGAGGCTGCCCAAATAGATAAACAATGTGGACAGACAACAGCAGCTGCACCAGCCCAAGTATCCTCCCCTCATGGATCTGAGGTAAGATGATGGGATTGCTGTGGTACATTTATTTTTATTAGAAGCTTTGCATGACTTAGGATATCCCCCCCCCAAAAAAAAATGTTGTGTGTGTGATATGTGTGTTGAAATATTACCCCCTCCATCCGTTCAAGGTCCTTAATTTTTTTATTGAACCAAATAACTTAATCAAAATACATAAGAAACTACACAGCCTTTCTGTTCATTCTTTCAAGAGAGGAGCGGAAGATTTTTTCCAGTACCTTATGAACACTAAATGTGTTGCCGTGATGATACTAAAAAGAAATTCATGCTAGTTTTTTGATATTATTACAGTACAATTCAATTCATAATACCAGTTCTGGATTGAAAGGAGTTTTAGCTTTAACTCCATATGATGTGGCTTAGGATCCATATGATAACATGCAGTTGAGTTATAGAGGCAACATAATTGGCTTCTTCAGTAGTTTCAAAATATTTATTCTGCTATTAGTATATTTCTCAATGAGAATCAAGGCAGATTATGTGGTGTAAGTCAAATATAATCACAGGGTGGAACATCCAGTGAACAGTGTAGTAGTAGGGTTTGGGACTACAGAAATCTGAAAACAAGCAGAAATCTGAAAGTAAGCATTTAAACATGACATGTTAAGTGGTGTGGAAGAAGCTGTATAACTGAAGCATGTTTACTGTGATAAGCAGCAAAACAGTAGCATAGGCCACATTTATGTGTTCTTCTTGTGTATTCTGAGATGGTAGCTAGCAACTATGCGGAGGCAGTGTTGTGCAGTGATCAGAATGCTGGATTAGTCTCTGAGAGGCCTGGGTCCAGATCTCCTCTCTGCCATGTAGATTTTGGAAATGACAGAATTGATGAGAATCACCGCAATGGATGACATCCGCATGCATTTTTAAAATACAAGTTTGAGTAGACAAAATTACTCATACTTCATAGTGTTTTTTTTCAGAATGAAACAACATTTAATATAATTCCAAAATGTATTATTTTATCTTAACTCATATGCACATGGATGTAACAGTGTAATCATAAACTGAAGGGTCTTTTGTGCTGATATGGGCACGGCCAGTGCATTCAGAATCCCGTGTGGCAGCTTATAGTCCTTCTGTTGTTGTGTATGTTTCATGTACCGATGATCTGTACTATGTATATCTCCAAAAGAAATTATATCAGTGGAGTCAGACAAGCAGACAGTGTTCATTAATAAATCAATTCAATTTTTTCCCTCAGCCTGTGGTTCCCTAGCCATACATCCTTCTCTCTCGTAAAAATCCTATGTTTTACCTGATGAAGGGGCACAACTGCTACAGTAAATCTGGCAATCATGAAGATGCTACAAGATGTCATTTTCATTTATAATCAGTTAATACAAAACAACTTAAATATAGAGAACAAATATTAAAGTTACTTCTCTCTTAGGTTTTCAGTGTCCTCCACATTTGCAGATCAGATGTGGGAGGGCCCCAGAAGGGGGCCTTCTCAAGACTGAAAAATGCAACTTCATAACATTAAAACAACCTTCTTGTGATGTTTGCAACCTCTTTGGTCCCCATGTAGAATTTTTTAGCATTACTGGTGTGCCAAGGCACTATAGTTCTTGCACATAGATCAAATTAAGCATATGGCTGCTATCTTGATATCAATAAGCCAATGATATGGATAGTCATGATAGGATAGTCAGCCATTTGCTAACCCAGATTTAAATATTTTGTGAGCCTTTTTTGAAGATAAAACAGCAAATATGAAAATGAACATCATGAACATTAATAATGGCTCTTTCTTCCCCCCAGCAGCCTCCATCACCTGCATCTTCTGAATCGTCAACTATTTCTTCTCAGTCCTCAGGCAGACCCAGCTCAGGAAGTCATCAGCTCCCTCGTGGATATATTCCTATCCCTGTGATCCATGAGGGAAATGTTCCAAGACAACCATCACAAGGCTATCATCAGGCACAGAAAACACACTACCCAGCCCAGCAGAGTGATTACCTTGCTCACTCACCAGTGTTCCACCAAATTCAGGTCGATGACCGGGATCAGAGGCCGCAACGGGCGCAGTCCCCATTCAGGGTGTCACAAAGGGGTTCCACAAGTCGTGAAAGCTCACCGGCTAGAATCCAGTCCCCCACTCCCATTAGAATACAGTCTGTCAGACCTCAGGTAGGTGTGATGAACCTATATAAATCACTCCCTTTCATTAGCAAATACTCTGCAAAATATTGTAATAGTCTTGTCGACTTTACCAAAAAAGTGTTACTGAAAACCTTAATCCATTAATTGACAAAATTAACCAGGTAATCACTGTACAGTAGATTAAAAATTACAGCTCATTAAAAAAAACACCTGCTAATCCTCTGGGCTATCCACAAAGAAGTTAACTTTTTCCTCCCTTCTGCATATTTTACTCTTTACAGCTCTTCATGGTGACAGGTCTAGAAACAGTAGTACAGAGAATAATCCCCCTCCGTTTTCTATCAGTTGAAGTAATCTCCAGGGGCTTTTGTCATAATGTCATAATGTTAGGTTAATTGACTTTTTTGAATGCAATTCACTTCAGCCTGCTCCATCGCTAGATTTTTGAACTATACAGCATTCGACTCACTACTTCGTTTTTTGTATTTTCTCATATCTTTTTTTCCATTCTTTATATTTTTAAAAATTATTATTTTATCTTCTTTTATTTTCTTCTAAAGTTCCCTTAGCACTCTTCATAACTGTTACTGTCCATACAAGCTGCTTTGAGTTAGGTAACTACTAAAAATAATATTACAAAGATGGACATAAACCCCCACACAGCAACACCTGAGAAAGGTCACATTATCTGGAAATAAACAAATTTTCTAATCCTGTTTAGATCTGAAATCCTTGTAATTGTTTTCTGGGGTTGCATTTCTCACTAACCAGCATGTCATGCTTTTCCACCAGGCATCTCAGCAACAAATGCCAACCCAAGGATCACCAGCAAGCCTACCACCTGAGGCCAAGGTGGATAACAAGGCCGGCTCATCCGGAATAGAGGTTCCCGCTTCATACATCCCCATTCAAGTCTTCCATACTGATGCTGACACAAAGCCATCTCCACAGAAGCCACCTCCCCCAGCAGAGGATGTTGATAAAAAGATTCCTTGCCCTCCTAACACTGCTCCTCTAGAAGAAAGGCATATCCCACAAGAACCTGAAGCACAGAAGCCTCCAGAGACAGAAGAACTTCAAAAGCACCCAGGAGTCTTGAAAGTTGAAGCCATTCTGAACAGAGTGCAGTCATTGGAGCAGGCAGTCGATTCCTTTGATGGTAAGAAAAATGACAAAAAGTACCTACTGATAGAAGAGAATTTAACCAAAGAGCTGCTAGCCTTGGACTCGGTAGATCCTGAGGGTCGTGCAGATGTTCGGCAGGCCAGGAGAGATGGTGTAAGAAAAGTCCAGAATATATTGGAAAGACTTGAACAGAAAGCAGAAGATGTCCCAGAGCCTGTACAAGTGGATGGGTCATCTTTGCCTGAAAACAATCCACAGGAAAAAATGGATGTTGATTCTGTGGTGGAAAACACTGTAAAGGATGTAAATAACAAGAATACCAAAGAGCAGATCAAAGTAGAAATGCAGCATCCTGAATTTAAAGAAGGAGTAGTTACCAATCTTGCCAAAGAAGCAAACACATCTGAAAATGTGACTGAACCATAGCCACAAGTGAATATTAAAGTCCTCAGACTCTTTAACTTAAAGTGTGTGTTAAGTGATTTTTAACTTGCATGTATTACAGGCGCTTTGCACCAATTGGTTTTTAATAAACATAGCAGCTTGGGACACTGTAAACATTCAAGTGGGGTAGTTAGCAGGGGGGGCATAAGGAAAAGAATGCATTTATCCTATATTCTATATGATGCTCAGTTGTAAAATGGATGTTTACAAGTGAAAAATATCTTGGGCTAATATTGGCAGATGAAATTGTTACCCAGCCACATCAGAAAAAACAAATCTTTTCTTTCTTTCTTTCTTTCTTTCTTTCTTTCTTTCTTTCTTTCTTTCTTTCTTTCTTTCTTTCTTTCTTTCTTTCTTTCTTTCTTTCCCCTCAAAATTTCATTAGTCACTTTAAGTGATAACACTTGAAAGGTATGCTAAGAAAGCATAAGGATATTTGTGTGTTCAGAATTTCAGTGCTACATTTTAAATGGGAAAAAATAAAACAATAATGTAGAAACCTGGTGAACCTGTGTGGTTTATAAACAGCAAGTACATTCATTTACAATTCATTAACTGAAAAGCAAAAACTGTGTAATATTGTAAATATCTTTTATGCAAAGCAGTCAAACCAGCAAAGTTTTGTGTTGGTTCCAGACTAAATTAGCCATTGGTATTGATTTTCCCTTCCCACTGCAGACACCCATCCCCCTGTCCATGTTGCTTCTTAGCGCCTCCTGTCCTCCCCCAGGAACACCATTTGTGGACATTAGTGGGCTGCCTTGGAAGGGGGGAAGGCAGGAAAATGCCGTTCCATTGATGTGGGTCCAACCCATAGTGTATAAACTTTTGATGCCGTATATGACTAGAACCAAGTTGCTCTCATGGCATACAGGAAAGAAGCAGCAAAAAATAGACACCATCCATGTGAAAACCCGGAGCCTAGCAGTTGACCAAATGTGTCTGTGATGCTAGATGGAGCAAACAGGTCCTTTAGAAGGCTGACTGTAAGAAAAACATGATACTCTGTGTACTAGTAATACTGAAGTTTGATTTTTGTAGATGCAGTAAGCAAGGAGTCAGTGTACTGTCACCTAATTGTGGCTTCCTAGTCAGAATCTTTTTCTTGGCTAAATTCAAGCATCTGTAAATTAAACAAAAGACTTACCTGCATCTGTCCATAGCAAAATCAAAATGCCAGGTAATACCAACTAAAAGGTAAAGGTAAAGGTTCCCTTGCTCGAAAGCCAGTCGAATCCGACTCTAGGGTTGCGGTGCTCATCTCCGTTTCAAAGCCGAAGAGCCAGCGCTGTCCGAAGACGTTTCCGTGGTCATGTGGCCGGCATGACTAAACCCCAAGGCGCACGGAACGCTGTTACCTTCCCACCAAAGTGGTACCTATTTATCTACTTGCAATTTCTTGCTTTCGAACTGCTAGGTTGGCAGGAGCTGGAACTAGAGACGGGAGCTCACTCCGTCTTGCGGCACCCAGGTCTCGAACTGCTGAACTACTGACCTTCCACAGCCTGCAGTGTAGACATCTGTTAATTCCTTGTCTTGGTGTAGGAAATGCCTACTTATGTTTGCTTTCCAGTTAGTCCTTGATCTGTCTAGTTTATGTACAGTCCAGCCTGACTTGCCCAAATGGGGACAGATGTATTCAGTCAGTCAAAGGATGAGTTACAAAGGAGGGGCATTGGTACAAGGCTGTGTGCAAGATGCAAAGTCAGTTCGTTAGGTTCTGATAGGGGATCCTCCACACTGTTTTGCTTGTTGGGGGAGGAGTCAAAATTCTCGACATAGATGCAGTGGCAGCTGGTGACGGAGTGAAGGCACGGAGTGGTGAGTAGAGGAGTAGGGCTGAATTTACTTACAGGTAGCTGTCACTGGGAGGAATGGGATGGCATAGACAGCACAGTGCGAATTTTATGAGCTGGGTCCTAAGGGGGAATGGCCATTCTGACAGACTTGCCATCTTAATGCGGGAACATCTGTCCTGGTACACCCCTCAAATAGCATTGCACACTATGAATAACAATCTTCTGGTGGTCCACAGCCCAAAAACTATTAGTCTTTCATCAACCTGGGGGAGAGCCTTTTCAGCTCTGGCCCCAGCCTGGTGGAATGATCTTCCAGATGACATCTGGCCCCTGTGGAACCTGATTCCGTTCCTCAGGGTCTGTAAAACAGAATTATTCCACCAGGCATATGGTTGAGGCAACCAAGTTCCATCTATATTGGCCTCCCCTAGCCCCCCCGCTTCCCACCATTCCTTGCTTTGCATACCAGCTTTAAACAGATGGTTTGTACAACCTCACTTGGATAAACTGAATTCGTGCCTATGCCTCCATCTAATTTTATTCGACTGTTATGTAAAATTGATTTAATAGCTAATTATGATATGGTTTTT